TTTCAAATCTTCACAGATGGGGGGGTATGCCCTCATGGTGTTAGGTACTTTCCCAAAAGCATTTTCCCAAGGGCGACTTCCCAAGTATCATTTTCTTAAGCGACAAGTTCCCTAAGGTTAGGTTAGGCCCTTTTGAAACGCCGCAGGCTGCAATGGGGACCGAGCGTCGCAGCTAAAACAGGTTGGGGGCCGAGCTCTGCGGCAAGGACAGACTTGGGAAGTTTCACATTTGGGAAGTTGCCACTTGGGAAAATGCCTTTGGGAAAGTACCTAATACCTAAAAATCCATTCTAGGTCACGGCTTTTTAGCCTGACATAGGATTTCAGAGATGGGAAAATGTCGCCAATGATAGCTCTAAGATGTCTACTAGGAGAGGACGTGAAATATCTCAATATATTAGGAGAACACAGGAGTTTGATCTACACTATTCTACAACAATAACTTCAAATCTACAAGCCAAGATTCAACTTCAGTGGCATAAAGATCTGGGATAAGCTGACTATTCTAAAAGTAATGTTATAATTATCAATTTTATCTGTGTTGTATAATACTCAATTTTATCTATATAGCCTTATGCCAATTTTATATTCAAGACCAGCATTGATTTTAAAGTAAAGTAAATTGATTTAAAAAGTTCAAATGTTTCAGATAATGATGTATGATTTGCATCCTTATGTAATGACCATTGATTAACACTTCCACCTAGGTGTGTAAAATACAGTACTTTCATATAAACCATTACTGTACGTACTGTAAAATCCCCCTGCCCTGCTGCCTTNAAATGTTTAATAAATATGTTTAACTTATGTATTTTTTTCAGTAATTCACCGCAACTGTTGCTGTATTTAAACCAAGTATAAATTAAGATATATACGTTTCTACCAACGGCGAGTGTAATTAAGGCAGTGATTGTGTATGTAGCTCTTTATGCTCAAGAGTGAAATGTTTGTAAGTGATTTTCGGCCAGCGAGCACAGGACGGATCCAAGGTTAAGGTATTGGGAAATGGGGAAATGGGAAACGTAGAAATGTCGTCAGTTTGGCTTATCAAAACTATATGATCCCACAGGCTACTTTGACTGAAATTTGCGATTTTTTCCCCTGCAAATATCTTAACAAAGACAGTAAAAAAGGGGTAGTAGAGCCCTTTTTTCAATTTTCGGTTTTAAAGTGCCCTTTTTAAGGAATTTTCATAAAAAGTTGGATGAATTTTCACATTTTACTCCAACCCTGGAAACAACTCCAAAATCCTGGGAGCCTTCCAAAACCCTGGGAGCAATTCCAAAACCCTGAGAGCAGCCACCCCTCCCTCCTTTACTCTTCCTCTCTTAGAAGAACCCCCCCCCCTTCCAGTTAAAACTTATCCCTTTGCTGTATTCCTACCCTTTACTTACTTACCGTCTTGTCTAATAAGGCTCTCTATAATCAGTGCAGTCTTTTTATCTTCACTCTCATCATCTGCATTCTCCTTTAGTCTTATATGTCGTCCAACAGGACCTGAGACAAACGATCAATCAAGATGAATCATTGGAAGGATTATACATTCCAAAGAATGTATAGACACAGAATTACTTCTGAATACATTTAGAGCTCCATCTTTCAGTCCATGATTAACCAAAACTAATCATGATTATTCAAGATCAATCAATAATAGTCAAATTTAATTTTTATCAATCAACATCAATCAAGATTATTCTGGTTCAATCTAGATCACTTGAGATCATTTAAAATTTAAAATTTTAATTCAAAATAAATTTTTATCAATCAAACTCGATCAACATCAAACAAGATCAACTAATAAAGTTCAATAAAGATTGATCAAGATTGATCAAGATCAATCAAGATCAATCAAGATCAATCAAGATCAATTAACATCAATCAAGATCAATCAAGATCAATCAAGATCAATCAAGATCAATCAAGATCAATCAAGATCAATCAAGATCAATCAAGATCAATCTAGCTCAATCTAGCTCAATCTAGATCAATCAAGATCAATCTAGCTCAATCTAGATCAATCTAGATCAATCAAGATCAATCAAGATCAATCAAGATCAATCAAGATCAATCAAGATCAATCAAGATCAATCAAGATCAATCAAGATCAATCAAGATCAATCTAGATCAATCTAGATCAATCAAGATCAATCAAAATTAATCATGATCAATCAAAATTAATCAAGATCAATCAAAATTAATTAAGATCAATCTGGATTAATCAAGATGATTAATATGAGCGAAGAGCTTTTCTATATAGATTAATTTCAAAATCCAAGAAAGAAATGATTTTCGATGCTCTGGGGAAAATCCCCTTTCAGAAATTTACTCCCATAACTACACGTCACATCTCAAAAAAAAAATATTTTCAAGAGAATGAGGGGGGGGGGGGAATAATTTTAAAGAAAATATACAGGGTGAGTAAAAAAAACGAGATAATCGATGTTTTGGATCTTTGTTTTGTTCTTCGGATTATTGCCCATTATTTGCATTCTTGAAGTCGTCACAGTTCCAAGGTTATTATTCCATAACATTTACGAACATTTTTATGCAATTTTGGAAATAATAAAATAGACATTTTTTTCTAATTTTGGCTAAAAATTTTATTTATTCAACAAAAATTGGTTTTCGCAGATTTTTAATGGTCTAAAATTTTTTTTGAATATATTTATTCCATTTTGTTATGCCTAAAATTTCAACTAAACAAAAATTTAGAAAATTTAGTCCAAAACCTCGAAAATCCCGGTTTTTTTTTTTACTCGCCCTGTGTATACTCCAAGATGTAAAAAAAGTAATGATACCTATCGGAAGTTTGCTAAATGTCGTCTTTGAGTTGTTTATCAATATATCTAGGTTTATCATGTCTCTACCATACGGGGCCAAGCTTCTGGTTCCTAAATCTAAAGGGAGAGATTACGGATACCATTACTAAGATTTGATTACAAGTGACCCTCTGATTCACAACGGTACCATTAAAACTTTGCCTGATCAAGAAAGCTCATGATATTATTTCTCTTTGAAAACTGAATTATTTCATTCGTGGTGTCACTAGAAAAGTAACTTGCGGATATCTTGCTACAGAAACAATGTAGGCAGCATTAAACACTTCTCACTCTCTTTAAGGAAACTAGAGTACAGATGAACCTCTACAGTAGAAATAAATAAATTGGGAGCTTTCAATCTTAAGATCTATATTTATCAGGTTCTTCTGTACCAAGATTAAAGGGGAAATAAATGCAAATGCAAATGCAAATGCAAATGCAAATGCAAATGCAAATGCAAATGCATTTTTATGGGGGTCTCACTGAAGTATACAAAAACAAGAAATAAAAAAATAACAGAAATGATTATTAATACGAAAGGATAAAAGAAAGTGATCACTAATATATTTTATATCCGACTATTTTCAAATAAAAAATAAGAAATAATTAGATTTTTTATGTGTTCTAATCAAAAACAGGGGTCCATACAATTCCATTTCTGATCCCAAATGAAATCGGGGTTGAGAGTACATGAAAATACACTTTCTGTGTCATTTTGAACTTGGCAAGGTTTTTGTGTATGTCAGAAATGTGCACTGCATTTGAGGTGTTAGAAGATGCAAATCAATAAATAAGTTAAATTATAATATACAGAAAAATAAAGCCTCCCTTGCAGTGTACATTCTGCAGTATGGAATTTTTCTTCAACTTGACACTAAACTTCCTATTGTTTACAATAACAACATGGTTAATTTCTGCCCCTAATATCAATCAATCATATTGGATGGTTCAATCAATAGTATTGAACCCCTGATCAAAAATCATGACCATTCCCATTTTAAACTACCTCTAATATTCTTTGTACAGTTGTCTAGTTCCTCTTCCTTCTCATCCTTGATCCTACTGCAGGCTTCTACAGCCTCCTTACTCTCAGATATCTCCAGGTTTATCTTCAAATCCTCCTGGTCAAACCTCTCCTTTCGCAGCCTTCACAAATAATATTATCATTATTATTATTTTTTATTCTTATTCGTATTCTACTTAGTAGATCCCTGTACAGTGTACTCTACCAGAGCTCTAGAAGAGTTACCGGATTTTGTACTTCTACTCTACTAAGTAGATCCATGTTCTCTAACAGAGTTCTAGAGGTGTCCGGGTTCTGTACATCTACTCTACTTAGTAGATCCTTGTACACTACCTGAATTCTAGAAGAGTGTCCGGGTTCTATACTTCTATTCTACTAAGTAGGTCCCAGTACTATATCTGAGTTTTAGAAGAGTGACCGGGTTCTGTATTCCTACTCTACTGAGTACTGACTACTGAGTAGGTCCTTGTACTCTACCCGAGTTCTAGAAGTGTGTCCGGGTTCTGTATTTCTACTCTACTGAGTAGGTCCTTGTACTCTACCTGAGTTCTAGAAGTGTGTCCGGGTTCTGTATTTCTATTTTACTGAGTAGGTCCCTGTACTCTACCTGAGTTCTAGAAGTGTGTCCGGGTTCTGTACTTCTACTCTACTTAGTAGATTCCTATACTGTTGTTTTTCTTGGATATCTTTTCCCAGATCTCTATTAACAAAGTTACTAATTATCTTTTTTTAAAATTTTTTAATATTTTTTTAATTATAAGGTGATGTGTGGNTTTTACACATTTTATACTTGATTGTTCGAAACGTTTGCGTTACAATAAGTAAAATTATGCCTAAACACAAACGTTTTAAATCGATCGCTTTTTGACTAGTTCTTTCTTTTTTCTCTTGAAAGATTAAAAAAAATTATCACAAAATACAGCACTATGCAGTATAAAGAGATACAGATATATATGCAGATTTTAACCTCCAAGCCACGGCGCGGCGCTTCGGAAATTATTAAATAAGGAAAAACTATATTCCTCAAGATTGTTTGCTTAAACAAATACATGACGGGGATATTTGCATTAATAAAATATCCCCCCCCAGCTCGAGCACAAACATCTAAATTGTTAACACGTTTGGTTACAGGATATTACTTTAAAAAGTTTACATCCATTCTGAATCATCATTCCTCCGTCGGAAAAATAATATTTTGGAATTAAAAACAAAATAAATATTATATTGTGATGCCATTTTCTTTTTCATTTTTGAAATTTCTGTAGTAAATCTGATTTTAAGGGAATTTCTGCTAGAAACGCGTAATGTTAAAAAAAAATAAAAAATGGTTAAAAAAAAACTTACTTGAGTAAATGGATTTTCTTCCAACTTAGTTCCTGAACATTATGAGTAAATCAAACGTTTTTACAATAATTTTTCTTACTTAAACAAACAACACTAAACCGCAAAATATTGGAAGAAAGATCTCTGAAACCAACGTACCATGAAAACCAAAACCAAGCTAAGCAATAAAAATAAAAATAAATAGTCAGACGGTCACAGAAAAAATACGCCACAAAGAAATCCTACATATAAAATTGTCACTATAAATTCCGCATTAAAAGGAGTGACCCGCAATGCATGTTGAACTGATTTTGTAGTATTGTGGAGAATTTTTTTAGGATTAATTTGAGTCATAAAACATGTATTTATAACATATAATTTCTGAGCTTGATCGCAAAGTCGACGTTCAAAAACATCCATTTGGGTGGTTAAGTTTCGAGAATCGATTTTCTAAAATTATTAAATAACGACAAAAAAAATTGTAAAATTTTTTTTACAGTAAACCAATTAAACGTTTAAGAACATATTTCTCAATTGCAATTTACGCAATAATAAAGGTTAAAATAAATTAACTCTTTTTCATCATTATTTTGAATTTCTTATTCTTCATGAGACCAAGCATTTAAGATTAACGAGTTCCGACCTCTTATGAAATTGAAAATGGTTTCCCACCTTAACAGTTTTCCTGAATTCTTGATCCTTCTCCATCCTAGCGTTGTCCTCCTTTATCCTCTCCTGCAACTCCTAAACCAGCCAATCCGTCGTCGGTCACTTTTATACAAAATCGACCAATTTTCTACCAAATGTTATATTTCTTTTTATTGATTGATTGATTGATTTAATGTTTAATTGATTGAATGATTGATTGATTAAATGAATGATTGATTGATTCATTCATTAAAAAGAATAAATACTTACATCCTTCTTGCACTCCTCGCTCTCCCCCCTGATGCTCTCCTCCAGCTCCTTCATCTTGTCCATAATCTCCTTGTTCTTCTTCAATGAAATAATATATAGAAGTTTAAATTACGTTTATAGTCCTCTTCAGGGACCCTAATCATCTATATATATAAAGTTGTAATATCTGTTGTCCGTTTGTTTGTTCGTTTGTTTGTTTATGTGTCAGATCATAACTCAGGAACCCATGGACCGATTTGCCTCACATTTTGATTGGGGAACTTGGGAGACCCACGGGAATGTTCTTAGCTTAGTTTTGAGATTCTAATTTGAGTGGAACGACTTTTATAGCGTTTTTAGTTTCCCGGTAAAAATCGTTTAAAATCGGGTAAACGGCGGGAGTAACGAGTACCCTGTGCAACGCTGGGTTCCCAAGCTAGGGTATTAATAAACCAACAAACCAACCTTGTGTTGGAGAATTAAGTTTTCATGAATACAATCCCTTCTCTTTTCTACACTCTCCAGTTCCAACTCCTTCGCAGTCAGGTTTCTCCTAGATACAGTTCATGATGTGCAATAAATTAGTTCGTTTTGAACTTTTACACATTTTATACACACACTTTGGCCTGTGTGGCCAACCATCAATGACACCCCGCTACTCCCTTTGGGGATGGTGCGGTGATGTGGGCTCTTCCCAAAACTCTCTTCGGACAGATGGGTGACTGTTTTATTTATTTATTTATACTTGATTGTTCGAAACGTTTGCGTTACAATAAGTAAAATTATGCCTAAACACAAACGTTTTAAATCGATCTCACATTTTTGATCAGATTAAGATTTCGAGGGTATCGTTTTATATCGGGCATTGTCAACTTTGTCTGGAGGGTCACTTGAAATTACGCTTACAGTCCCTCTCTAATGAAATGTACCTTATACCAACTTCTTATTTCCTCTAACATTGTGGCCTTCATGATGAACATAAACATCTTCTCAGGCTTCAGATCGTTCAGCAATGATTTTGCAACCTCCTAACATCAAAAAAGTGATTTTTAGAAAATCAATCAAAGAAGATTCTTAAACCGTTCTCTGAGAAACTCGGTGGCCTTTTATCTGTAGAATACCAATCTTAATTCTTGGTCATTTTATATTTCCTTAATAAATTCTTTTCTTTTTTTCTTTTTAAGTTTTTTTCTTTACTTCGCATAGGAATAAACACATAGCAATTTTATTTCTAATTCTTTGTCGTTGCTCTTTGTTTATACCAATCTAACCACATGGCTTAAGTTTAAGTTTTATTTTAAACTAGCTCTTATTGCCCGGCATTGCCCGTAGAATTTTAGAAATACTTCAAAAAAATTCTAATTTTGAAAAAAATCGAATGTTCCCTCAAAAATTGTCATCTTATTTGGTTTATCAATAAATGAATAAATGAATAAATGAATAAATGAATAAATGAATAAATGAATAAATGAATAAATGAATCAATGAATCAATGAATCAATGAATCAATGAATAAATTAATAAATTAATGATATAATGAGTACATGAAAGTATGAATCAATAAATGAATGATAGAATAAATAAATAAGTAAATGATTGAATTAGTGGTATAGAAGACATTTCGAAAAATGCTTTGCTTCAGATTATCTTCTGAATGAATACAGGAAACTAACCTGCTGAAGTATAACGAGAGGATTATCTATAAAAATATCAAATTTATGAAGAATCCTTGAGAGCTCGTCCCGAGCCTTCTTTTCTTCCTGAAATACCGTCTCCCCTTTCCAATTCTGATGAAACGTTGTCATTTTTTAATATTTGGAGAAAGGTGTTCCTCAAGGATCTATCATTGGTCCCCATTGAAACAATAAAACTTTAATTTTCAAAGTTTTAACCCCCCCCCCCCCAAAAAAAAAACAATTCACGAAACTTGGAGATGAGGGCGGAGGGTGATAAATTAAACTTTATATTTCAAGACGGAAAAAAATTCAGATATTTATCTTTGTCAAAATGATTCAAGTTTCCTGAAGTAAAAGTTTATTGGCTTTTGATGCATAAATTGTTCTTTGGACGATAATAGTATTTCCGTAGGTTTTCGGATCCCAGGCATCTTTTCCTTCATTGCATAGAGATATCTGAATATATTCAAGATTAGAGATATCTGAATATATTTAAGATTAGAGATATTTGAATATATTTAAGATTAGAGATATTTGAATATATTCAAGATTAGTAATATCTGAATATGATGAAGATTAGAGATATCTGATTATATTCAAGATTAGTGATATTTGAATATATTCAAGATTAGAGATATCTTAATTTATTTAAGATTAGAGATATCTAAATATATTTAAGATTGGAGATTTCTGAATATATAAAAGATTAAAGATATCTTAATTTATTCAAGATTAGAGATATCAGAATATATTCAAGATTAGAGATATCTGAATACAATTCAAGATTAGAAATATCTGAATATATACAAGATGATTAGAGATATCTTAATGTATTCAAGATTAGAGATATCATGTATTCAAGATTAGAGATATCTGAATATATTCAAGATTAGAGATATCTGAATATATTCAAGATTAGAGATATCTGAATACAATTCAATGCTAAAAATTTCTCTACAATACTACATTCTCAATTCAATTACCATACAGTGCGGGTCACTCCCTTTAAGGGGATATATGATTAACAAACAATTAAAGGGCATTTATGTTCAGAAAACAATTTAAGGGCAAATATGTCTATTAATAATAAAATTTAAAATCAAGTATGGATAGAAAAAAAACTGAGGACAAATATGCCCAGAAAACAATTAAAAGGACAAATATGCCCAGAAAACAATTAAAAGGACAAATATGCCCAGAGAACAACTAAAAGGACAAATATGCCCAGAAAACAATTAAAAGGACAAATATGCCCAGAAAACAACTAAAAGGACAAATATGCCCAGAGAACAACTAAAAGGACAAATATGCCCAGAGAACAACTAAAAGGACAAATATGCCCAGAAAACAACTAAAAGGACAAATATGCCCAGAAAACAACTAAAAGGACAAATATGCCCAGAGAACAACTGAAAGGAAAAATATGCACAAAGAACAATTAAAAGGAGAAATACGTCTTTAAAAAAACGGCCTCACCTCAATCACAGATTTCTGACAGTCTTTACGAACAAAATCCCCAAGTTTGCTGAACCTTGATGTAACCTTAGATTTACCCAGTAAACCTTAAAGATTTGTTTTATTATCTTCGATTCAAATAAACTTACCCATTCTACACATTTAATATTTATATATCACATTTTGTTGGAAAATGAAAAGATAAAACGTCATTTATTTTGCCCATTTTCATCATGAAGCACATGCATATACATTTTCAACAGAAGATTGCGATAAAATCCATTACCCCCCCTGAACCCCTAAAATGTCCCACTGTGCCCCCCCTCAAATAAAAAGCCTTTAAAAGTTATCCAACTGTGCTCAACCTACCTAGAACCATTCCTTGAAGAATTGAACTTTTCCCGGAACCATTTTCTCCAATCAAGAAGTTGATTTCCTTAAATTAAAATCAAATCATTTCATTTTGGAATCCGGAGCAGAACAAATTGGCTCCCTGAAGCCGGATATGGTATTAAAATGTTCATGTTCATGTTCATGTTCATGTTCATGTTCATGTTCATGTTCATGTTCATGTTCATTGCTTGTGCTAGTGCTTCTGCTTGTGTTTGATTTGTGTTTGTGTTTGTGTTTGTGTTTGTGTTTGTGTTTGTGTTTGTGTTTGTGTTTGTGTTTGTGTTTGTGTTTGTGTTTGTGTTTTTTTTCATTAATAAATAAAATTATTGGAACCCCAAACTTAAGTTATTCTGTTATGCAAATTATCACATTAGCGACCCAAAAATATGTTTTTTTTAATCTTTAACAGATTTTTTACAAATTATCAGGCGTAGGTTCGCAATTAAAAAAAAATCAACTTGCTAATCTTAAGTCCCTGAAAAAGTACAAAACATTGACATACAACTCGAAACTTGAAGAAAATTAATTTAGAAAAGCCGTCAATTTTATTGCAGAGATAAATTTTGTTAAGTTACTGTGCTGGGTGCAACTAACCTTTGGTTTCCATGTAAATTCGTGATGACACATGAAGTCTGTTAATTTTATCTTTGTTATATAACCAGTAGTCATTTCACCTCTATAACATTAAGGGCGTTAGTCCTCTTCTGATCTTCTACAAATGTGCGTCGTGTGCTGGTTACTTTAAAAACATTCAGGACATTTTTACTTTTTAGAACTCAATAAAGAATCTCAGATGGTTTTTTTTGTCAAAATTGTTAAATTATACGTTTTTTAACATTTGGCTAAATCTAAACAATAAAACAAAACATTCGTTCGGCCAAACGGCTGAACCAAATGGGCTGAAATTTTTGTGAATACTCAAGGGTAGCCTGGAAGTGACATAGGCTTAAAAAATTATTTTATTTTCTTCAGGATTTTTTTCAAACATTTTTTTTAATGTGTTGTCATAGAGAACGTATTTTAGATTTTAGTGGAGCCATCTCAGATGTTTAAACCATAGACAAAAACACCATGCCCATCTTTACAATATACAATAAACAGCTTTCTCAAACTTTTTAACACATTGGATGTTGAAACAAAAATTGTTTTAACATTCCTCTAGTTTCAACAGAAAATTATTGTAGTTACCAGTGATCCAGCATTTAAATGGATTCAATCTGATCCAAAACTTATTATCATTGTTCCATTTGAAGATTTAAGATAAATATTCAGTAGAAATCCATTAGTCACTTTCATAGGAAAACCGCAGTTTTCAGATACAAATTCATTTAATCGGACATGTAATTCTTGAATAGAATTACCACTGTAATTCTTGAATAGAATTACCACTTAAATTTACGTTAACAATTCCTTTAAATCTGAATAATATATAATTACCCATCAGAAGTTTGCACCACTTCGTCGTCTGATCCAGATTCCCTGCAAGTAATCGACCAATCAATCAATCACTCAATCAATCAATCAATCACTCACTCAATCAATCAATCAATCACATCTTCCATGACAAAATTCAACCTCACTTTAATCAAATACCATCAAAGTTTGTTATATCATACAAAAACTAAAGCTTAAAAAAATTAATTTGTTCCCCTAAAATATTTTACCTCCGCTTCCGCTTTACCCCCGGCGGCATCCTGTCTGAAAATTCAAAATATTAAAAAAAAAAGAAATATAAATAATTTAAGTGTTTAAATTTAAAAATAAAAACATTGAATTTTGGGCTAAACCATTTTTAATTAAAAAAAGTATTTGCATAGTATTTTTTATCAAATCCATATATTTCATTTTATTCAACACAATATATTTGAACCTCCAGACAAGAAAAAAGGGACAAGAAAAAAATGTAAATGCATTGTCACAAAGACAGAAATATAGATAAAATTGCTTGGCATCCGGATCCGGATCCATTGGATAAACAATCCCTTAAACCGGATCCGGATCCATTGGATAAACAATCCCTTAAACCGGATCCGAATGGCAAAACTTCAACAATACATCGAAAAAATGTCTGCATAAAAAAATATCTAAGACTAAAGAAAAGTTAAAAAATTTGATTTTGTTTTATGAAAAATTAAAATTTGAACCCATATTTATGAGCAGAATCCGGTTTTGAATCCGAATCCAGTTTTTAAGCCCGGATTCATCAAATGAAATCACTTATTTCAAGTAAAAGAAAGATTACAAAACAATTCAAAATACTTAAAATATTTACATTTTTGCATCATAGATTATTAGAGGTATATTTATCTTTGCAAACTAGAATTCTACATAATTAAATTAAAAATTGATTAATTGATTGATTAATTGCTAAATCCTAATATTGTAGTATGGAGTTGCTGCAGAATAATAATGGTGGTTAGGTACAAACAGAACAGTCGGCTCACACTAATTCCGATCTAAACAATAACAAAACAATAACAATAACAATAGGTATAACAATAAGAAAACAATAACAATAAGTATAAGTATATCTATCAACAAGAACAAGAACAAGCGCAAGCGCAAGCGCAAGCGCAAGCGCAAGCGCAAGCGCAAGCGCAAGCGCAAGCGCAAGCGCAAGCACAAGCACAAGCACAAGCACAAGCACAAGCACAAGCACAAGCACAAGCACAAGCACAAGCACAAGCACAAGCACAAGCACAANAACAATAACAATAACAATAACAATAACAATAACAATAACAATAACAATAACAATAACAATAACAATAACAATAACAATAACAATAACAATAACAATAACAATAACAATAACAATAACAATAACAATAACAATAACAATAACAATAACAATAACAATAACTATAAAAATAAAAAAGAATACAGAACAAGAACAATTACAAAAAGAACAAAATTAAAAACAACAATAAAAATATTCTCTTACCTCTATACTTCGTATGAGGAAATGAGCAAGAGTTGGCCGAAGACCACAAAGCACTAAAACTAAAAAACAAAGTAAATAAACTTCTTTATATAAAATACATTTACGGGTCTATAAACATGATTTCAATCGACTGTCCAAATATGAATTAATAAAAATAAATGCCCGATTCACATTAGTACTCTTAAAACTTTGACCAACAAAAGATGGAGCCATTCTTGTTTTCCATCTGAAATTTTTAATTGCGATTCTTTGGAATAGTAACTTCAGTCCGCGAATACATTTATGCAGCAGATGCAGGCAGAACATTGATGGAATTCATATCATTATAAATACATAAAACAGTAATTGATCATCCGAAAAAGGCCTTGCTAAGAGGGTACCGTAGCAAATATCGGGCATTTAACGTTTTTTATTAAGGGTCACTTGAAATTACGTCTTCACTTGAGTTTGACGGATCCTTTTAAAACAGGATTCAGAAATATTCCCCCCTCCCCAATATTTACCTGCGGATACAATAGATCCTACTGAAGACGCTAGATGGATCCGTCCTAAAGTATAAAGAGAGACTAGGAGTAGAAGGAAGGGAAGGAGAACAGAGTTAAGGATATATCCACCGAAACCAGACTGATCAAAATATGAAATTTGTATTTATTTATTAAGATCGACAACAGGAGTGTAAAATGTATATTTTCTCAACAAAAAAAAATCCCCCTTCCCTTTTTAAACATCCTTTTTTTCCAGAAGAAGGGGGCAATTTTTTTAGAGTTATATTCACTGAATTGGGAAAAATAAATAAACTTTTGGGAACAAGATATCAAAAAGTATGAAAAAACTTGCCTCTTGATGTCAAATTTTTAATTTTTCCCCAAAATCGTCAAAAATCCGTTCCCGGGTTATTCGAAAAGTTTACACTATACACCCCTGAATTCCACTTCCTGCTTTCTTTTCTACAATGTATTCTTTTCTGTTAGCTGAAGCGAATTTCTTAATAAAACTTTAGTTGCTCTGTCTTTTTTTATCAATTTTATCGCCGAAATCGTCAAAATCGTCACGATATAAATGTGATGAATGAACAATGAACATTTTAACAAGTTGAACCGCAGGTTTTTCTTTCTTTTCCCAAATCTTAGAAAAAAATTTGATGATTTCATTGGGGTTTATCCTATTTGAAAAAGTTCTAAGAGATTAGCACTTTTGAGTGAAGTATAGTTGATCATGTACGATTGAACTTGATAGCCCATCTTTGAGGATCTTTGAAAATAGTTCAGCGAAATTAATTATTCCTTAGATGAAGATCAATATTCACAATTAAAAAGTTCTGACTTGAGTAAATAAATTAATATTGATCCCTGTAGAAGAGTAAATAAATTAATATTGATCCCTGTAGAAGAGTAAATAAAATTAATATTGATCTCTGTAGAAGAGTAAATAAATTAATATTGATCCCTGTAGATGAGTAAATAAATTAATATTGATCCCTGTAGAAGAGTAAATAAAATTAATATTGATCCCTGTAGAAGATTAAATAAATTAATATTGATCCCTGAAGAAGAGTAAAGGTTAGAAGAGCTTGAAGAACCCAAATGAGACTGGAAACTTCGGGGAGAGGAGCAGATTTTGCAACACCGGACCTATACAATAATAGTTGAACTCGGTAGAATAAGCTGAACCACTTCTTTTCAGCTTAAATTGGCACACAAGATATGTAGTTAACCCACGTCTACAGAGATTACATCATATATTGAACACAAGCGGACAGACAGACATGCAAAATATTTATAATAAATAAGATAAAATTGAGTATTGGGTTCAAAAATTTTCGCTTTATAATGGTATTTAATAATTACAGATACTTTAAATAATTTTAAATATTTTAAATTTTAAAATTGGTTGATAACTGATTTGTGTTAAAAGTCTCTTCTCTCTTCAACTTGAATAACAACTGTAAACCTAAAACTAGTGCTTAAGATACTAGATCCGTTGGAACCGCAAAATATCAAACAAAACCAAGACATTTCCTCTCAAAAACAAATCAAAATTGTTACCTAATAGTAGACTAATAAAAACGTCCATATTTCTGAATGGTTTTATAAAAAAACTTGCGAAAAGGAAAAAAACATTTGAATATTTGTTTGTTTAAAAAAAAAAGTTAATCTTGAAAAAAATGTGCAGGGCCTAGATCCAGATCCGGTTTTGGATCCGGATCCACTTTTACCAGGGCGGAACCAGGAGGATCCGCATCAAAATGAAATTAACCCTAAGACTGCCTAAAACTTGGTTTAAAACCTGACTCCGTAGCCTGTCTAGGACGAGCTTCTCCATTTACCTGAGAGGGTCCCTTACAAGATTGTCCAAGGGTGGATCTGGAGCCGCGTCCTGAATACTGGAGATGGTTCCCCTGGGAGGAGGACGGGAGGAGGAACCTCGGAACCTTGTCACAGGTTCACCTCCACCAATCAACTCTATACATTTCAAGTTCTTTATTTTATCTGAGACCGCCATTTAAATAATCTAGAGGAATTTAGTCTCAAGACTAAGCCACCATTAAGATTAAAATAAGGCCCGAGCAAAAAGATGTTGGGACTAATTTTTTCCAACTTTGATAAAACTCAGGAAAACGAGATCAACTTAGGACTATACGAGTTGAGACTAAACATTTCATTCGCGATCTTTAGGATAAATAAAACCTAATACGTATACTTATCATTATTGCCCCCCCCCCA